CTTCATTGAAAGTAATTTATGTTTTCTTCTAAATAGGGCAGGCCACTCTTCCAAGCTTATATTAATACAATTGAGTCATGAAATATCTCTGTGTTCACACCTTCTTAAAATTACAGATGTACTTTGGAAGCATGTTTAGCTCTCTAAAACCACAGGGTGTCACCCAATGATTCCACTACACCTAACTACCCCACAATTTGATACACTTAGGCTCTCCCTGGACTCCTGACAACCTGACCAATGCTTGTCATACTCTTCACCAAAGAACACTAAAACAACAAAGACTGTTTATTACAGGGCACAGGATTTTTGTTATAGATGGCATGGCCTCGTTCCAGAACTCCAGTTATCTGCATTGTCATTCTCCCACAGGGATTGGCATGAGCCACCACTGACAGCTCTGCAACCTGGACTTGCTAAGAAGCCAATTCTTGTACCAGAGACACAGCCTTATGTGTCACTTACATCAATTATTTTTATGCTGCATGACAAATTACTCCCAACTCAGTGGCTTAAACTATTACACACTTTTATATCACAGTTTTGGCAGGTCAGAAGTCATGGCACAGCTGAGCTGGGTTTTCTGCATACTCAGGAGGTGGCCATGAAGGTGCTAGCCAGAGCTGCCAGTCATCAGAAGCTGGACTAGGGAAAAATACCTCAACGCTCCTCAACTAGTTGGCTCTTTATGGAGGAAAATTTTTCTCCTGTAGGAAAACAGAGTCACACAAAACACATATACCCCACACAGAGTACTTCCTTTAGTCTTGTCCTTCCTTGAATTATCATATATGGCACAGAGAAGAATTTTCTTCTAAGTTAAAATATTGGATTTCATTTCTCACGGGTAAATTTCTAGCAAAGGGGTCGTGGGTTGGATGGGAAGTTTTTGTGCAACTTCATAAGATACTATAATACTAACATGTTTTCAAAGTCATCTTTCCTTTTATCACTATCTGAAATCCATCGGCATTACAATTGTTCCATTTTCTCACCAATAATTGGTATTTCAGTTATATTTATTTTAGCCATTATAATGGGTGTACAATATATCATCGTGGTTTTAATATGACTTTCCTGAATAATAATGATACTTAGTATATTTTTGTGTGTTTATAAACAATTTGTACATCTGCATTGTCAAGTGTGTACTCAGATACTTCAGCCCTTCTTAAGCCAGATGATGGTTCGTCTTCCTGTTTTGAATGAAAGAGCTCTTTATACATTCTACATGTGAATCCTTGGTCAGACATAGACACACACACACACACACACACACACACACACACACACACATATAGCAAATGCAAATGTTTATTTGCAATCTGTGGCTTACATTTCGCTTCCTTTCACCATTAAGAAACTCTTACCATAAGGTTTTAATGTCAATGAAGTCCATTTGATCAATTGCATGATGAGTCATTCTTTTTGTATTCTATCTAAAAAAGTTCCACTACAAATTTGGAAAGGTTTTCCCTATGTTTTATGTTAAAATTTTGTACTGTTAACATTTATGTTTAGATCTATGATATCTTTCAATTAATTCAAGTTAATAGATGTGTATAATGGGAGGTAAAAGTTAAGGTTCTTTTATCCGTATGGATATCCAGTTCTTCCATAATTATTTTTTAAAAATTCATTCTTTCTCCATGGAATTGTAATGACATGTTTGTTGTAATTTCAATGACCAGATGTGTGTGGTTCCATTTCGGGACTCTATTACTCTAATATCCCATGGGCTTGATTAGTCAAATAATTTTTTGGAATAAAATAAGAGTTGTACTTAGGAAAGGTAAAACAATGCTGTGTTCAATTTTCTTTCCTAGTCAGCAGGCTATACTTTCCATAAATAAAAATCAACTCTGCCATTCGACACAAGAAAAAGAAAAGGGTTGGTTGTTGTGCAAGATACAATAAGCTGAAACATTTGTTAAAGTCACACAGAAGTATGGGTTTCCTGCTTACAGTTTTAGGGGACCATCCTGACCTGCACATATTTGATGAGTTGGGAATTATTTTACTTTGGAAGCACACATATAAAATTCTAGTAGATATAGTAAAGCATTTAAAATTAATTTTAAAATATTGCAACAGATGGTCCAAAATTTTTAATTGCTTTAATGTTCACTTTACATGTGGTTTAGAACTATTTCACTAAACATTTATACATGCAAAAATCAATAATCATAAAATGTGCTGCCATAGATATATTGACATATATAGCATGTAAGTCAATATATGATTCAATAAATAATTTGAATCATCAATTGCACTACAATAAATGGGCAATCTGTAGGATAGTAAATAATTTTTTCTATAATAAAATTATAAATCTAAAAAAATTTTAATGAGTGACAAAGCAATTTAGTGGGAACTAATTTTCCAAATGTATCCTTCACATCTTTGTTCCTAAGGCTATAGATCAGTGGGTTCAGCATGGGAATCATTACTGTGTAAAAAACAGAAGCCACTTTTACTATGAGCCTAGAAGTTTTAGGATTGGGAACACAGTAAAGGAAAAGAATGGTTCCATGAAAGATGGTGATGGCAGTCAGGTGGGAAGCACAGGTGGAGAAGGTTTTCGAGCGCCCACTTGCAGAAGGCATCTTCATAACAGTGATGAAAATGAGTGTATATGAAATAAGAATAATCATCAGGCTGCTTGTCTCATTGAATACAGCAATAGCAAAACACAGCATCTGGCTGATATAGGGGTCTGAGCAGGAGACAGAAACAATTACAGAGTGGTCACAGATAAAATTATGTATGATGTTAGATTCACAATAGGACAGTTCAAGAAGAAAATACATGAGTACCAGGGAACACACTACACCCCACGTGTAAGACCCAGCCACCAGAAGAGAGCAAAGCGTCTGAGACATAGTAATGGTATAGAGCAAGGGGTTACAAACTGCCACAAAACGGTCATAGGCCATAGCCGCCAACATGAAAGTTTCTGTCACTGCAAAAATGCAAGTAAAACAAAATTGCATGATGCAACCAGAGAAAGAGATGGTCCTGTCTTCCACAACCAAGTTCTCCAATAGCTTAGGTGTAACTACAGTGGAATAACAGAAGTCTACGAAGGACAAATGGCTGAGGAAAAAGTACATGATCGTGTGGAGTTTTGGGTTGATCTTGATGATTATTATCATGCCCAAATTCCCCACCACCGTGACTGTGTAGATGGACAAGAAAAACAGAAAGAGTGGAACCCGGAGTTCTGGGTATTCTGAGAAACCCAAGAGAATAAAAGTAGATATACTGCTTTGATTTCCTTCAGATGACATCATGATTCCTTCTGGATTAAAAACAAAAACAAAAACATTATTTCTGAAAAGCAGAACTGAATATTAAGGAGAAACAGAAAGCAAGGAAAGAGGCTTCATG